AATAAATGATCATACTATCTTTTTGTTTTCATCCCAAAATAATTTGCCTTGAATTTTTGAAATTCAACATTTATTTTAAAACCTAATGCAAAAACATGAATTCTATGTTATCAAATATCTAAGTCTCAAAATTTAGGAGAAAAAAGAATTAATAAATATGGTCTTTGTTAAATAATGAAAGAATAAACCAGCATAAAATAATAGAAAGTAGTCAATTTGGTAACTGAAAGTAATTATAATTTACTACCTATGCCAAAAGAGATCTGCAAATTCTTATATATTTGCAATTAATACTAAATATAAAAAGAAAAACAAATTTATTATTAAAATGAACACATAGTCAAAAAAAGAGAAGAAAAAAACCATAGAAGCCATATTTTGTCAGACTATATAAAGATAATTGATGGTGTTACTGCTATAAAAGAATTTTAAAAAATTATAGTCAAGTATTATGTAAAACTGGATAGCAAGTGAGCAACATTTAGTATAAAATACCTTCTAAGACCATACTCTTATACATGATTAAAGAACTATAAGCATGGCAAATGATGATAGGTTACTTTCATTAACTGCAGATCCTATAAAAATTCATTAAAAAATACTATCAACTTTGATTCTGCTCAACTACAAATAAAATGATTGATAGTCTCACAACTACCAGGCAACTATAACTAGTGTTTCTATAATAAAACCTATTCATTTTGCCTTAAATTATATAATATAGATTTATACTAAATACAGGTTCCTATTTTTTAGTAAGTGGCTTCTAAAAGTCAGCATCGTATAGTCTGAAATGTACACCTGCATACATTATCAGTTAAGATAATATTGCAATAACTTAAAACATTTTGGGAAAATAAAACATTTTATGTCATAGTTATAAATCTGAATCAGCAAAAACAAGATATAATAAATTTACTTATTATCAAATATACATTTAAATGATTTATTGCTTGTGGCAAAACACTGTTCTTTCACACTGTACAGATCAAGTTGCAGATTCATTACAATGAGAGCACTTACAGTTGATGACTGATACACTTCCTTACCTCATCCCTCTTAAAAGGTATAATGAAATAAAAATAAAAAAGCAGGGTGCTGACTTCTGAGAAACATGAAGGCACCAACATCTTCATATGTATAACACCTGCCTAAGGTTTTGTAAATTAAAGGCAATGTATATGAGTTTGGCTTTACATGTTTACATTAAACTGGTTGAAAATTGATTCCAATTATTTTAGTGTATGTGCATTCTAAGTTTAGTGCTTAATTTAACAGCAAGAACAGGAGTAATAAAGCAATGCATAAAACCTATTGCACACCAGAGGGAGTGAATGACTCAGAGGCAGGTGCAGCGATCAGTAGGATATGCTGGACATTAAGTATCTAATATTCTAATTCAGACAAATACCTCAAGAAAATCAAATGCATTAAACTGAGCTAGTCTTCTGACAGACTGCAGTGTACAATGCAAAAATAACAAATTAGTTAAATGGGCAAGATATTTGAAATGACAACATCAATTGGTTCATTTTAATTATCTTTTTTTCAAGTTGATTTTTTATTCGATTTGAAAAAATAATAACATCAGAGAAATTGGAACAACGCCTGTAGTCCAGAAAAAAATAAATTTAATAATATCCTTTTCTATACTTTAACTTCCTATAGTATATGGCCAGAGAAAAAGCACATCTATATATATAAAAGCCTAAGTGACCATTATGACCAAACAATCAGAACAACCAGAATAACCGGACTACCAGCCAGTAGCTATAAAGTGCACTGAGCCAGACCTTGCTGCTAGGGCCCTGACAGCCCTAAATCTGGTGCACCTGCACCCCGCACCTCATGGAATTGGCCATGCCTTAGCTTACTGCTGGGGCCAACCTCCTGTGGTCCCTCTCCTTGACCCTCCCCCCCCCAATCGTTCCCGATCACCAGCCAGGCCGAGGGATCCCACCTGTGCATGAATTCGTGCACCGGGCCTCTAGTTAATTATAAAAGAGCAACAATATATACTTTTGACATAAACTATGAATGCAAGAGTCAGTAGATTGACATCTTTTAAGAGATGAAAGGAAAAAAAATTTGCCAGGCTAAAATTCTACATTGAGTAAAAACATCCTTAAAAACAAAAAAACCCAAAAAACTAAATAAGGCCATTTTCATACACACAAAAGCTTAAAGAATTCTTTTCCAGCATATTTTTCACAACCTGAAATACTAAAAGAAGTTAAGACTAAAAGAAAATGATACCAAATAAAAGGATAAAACTTCAGGAAAAAATGAAGGGCACGCAAAGTAATAAATATGCCAGTAAATATAAAAGAGTGATGATGCTTAACATTCAAGAAATTAATAACAATACCTTAGAAGTTAACATGAATAGGGGTAAAAATGTATGATGACATATAAAAAAAGGTGAAAGAGGAAAAGGAGTTAAACTGACGTAAGATTATTGCATTGTTTGGGAAATGGTAAAATTAGCAACTATAAGGTAGACTATAAGAAGTCAATGATGACTATTATTACATAGAATGTTACATGAAAAAATATATATAACTAAAGAGTAAATGGAGGGGGAAACAGAATGAAAAACCCTTGGCTAAATCCAAAATAAATCAGGAAAAGAAGACTAAAGGAACAAAGAATTTGTGGGAGAAATAGAAAACAAATAGTAAAAGACAAAATTAAACTCAAATATATCAGTAATTGTATTAAATGTAACTGGACTAAGCATTACATTTAAAAGGTAGAGACTATCAGACTGGATAAAAAATAAGACCATGGAACCAATTATACACTATTTGTAAGAGACATGCTTTAAATATAAGGACAGAGGTTGAAAGTAAAAGGATAAAAATATCTCACAAACACTAACATAAGCTTGAGCAGCTCTATCATATCATGCAAAGTAAGAGAGTTCTACTTCTGGTAATGACAGAAGAAACCTATTAAAAATAATAATCTTAAGGCAAAAGATAATACCAAAAGCAGACAGAAACCAGAGGGGTGTCACATGGAAAAAGGGAACATCTGAGTGAGTTTCCCATTTCTATGGCTTTTCTATTAAAGACAGACTACAGTTCATGAAGAAAAACTGACAGAATTAAGGGAAGAAATATTACTATCTCATTTCTAATATCCAAAAGAAAAAATTTAATATATCACTTATAAGTATGTATGATATCTGCTATAAGCTTTTTGTAGATATTCTTTATAATATTAAAAATATTTCCTTCTATTCCTACTTTGAAATACTATCATAAGTAAATTTTGTCAGCTTTTATAATTATCTATTAAAATTATATAATTTTCTACTTATTCTGATATGTGGAAAATTAACATTATTTTTTAATATTAAAACATGCATTCCTTGACCAAACCCCAATTTGGTCATGTTACAGGTTCCCTTTTTTTTTTTTTAAATTGCTTGATTCATTTAACCAACCTTTTTTTGTTCTTTTAGGAATATTTGCATCTAAATTCTAAAGTCATTTTTCTTGTAATTTTTCATTTTGTATTTTTCTTGCTAGGTTTTTGTATTAAGATTATTTTGGTCTTGCCCGGCTGGCATGGCTCAGTGGTTGAGCATCAACCTATGAACTAGGAGGTCACAGTTCAATTCCCAGTCAGGGTACATGCCTGGGTTGTGAGCTCGATCCCCAGTGTGGGGCATGCAGAAGGCAGCCAATTAATGATTCTCTCTCATCATTGATGTTTCTATCTCTCTGTTCCTCTCTCTGAAATCAATAAAAATATTTTTTAAAGATTATATTGGCCTCATAAAATGAGTTGGAGAATATAACCTTTTTTACTTTTTATGGAATACTCTGTATAAACATTGAGTGTTTCTTCTTTAAATGTTTGGTAGAATTAATACCAAACAGTCTTTCCTTAGTGGAAGGCTTTTAATTATGTATTCAATTTCTCTGATATTATGGGATTATTCCATTTTTTCTTGAATATGTTTCTAAAAGACATATTTTCTAGGAATTTGTTCACTTCTAAATTTTCAAGTTTATTGACACAGCTGAAGAAAATATCTAATGACGTTCTGTTGGAATGGAACACTTATTTTTCAAATGATAAGGCTTTTTCCTTTCTAGCTTCAGAAGCTTATTCTGCCTTCTTAATAAAAACCACAATTACAAAACTGGCAACAACTTCAAAAAGTCCACTAAGTTTAGTAACCTGTATTCCAAAATTATCAGAAAAATGGGTGTCTGGAATTAACACTCTCTAAGACTAAGAATGAATTTTGAGGGAATTTCTTCCTATGAGGGAATCGTTACTTCTTTCTTTGGTAGTGTGATCTATTTACACTTCATTTATTAAGCACGTCTGCAGGTACAAGGATAAAAGAGTCCTTACTGTCAAGAAAGCGCCTGTCTGGAGGAGGAGGCATTCTGGTAAAGAAACAAATGATCTCTTGAGATAAATTCTACTCTGCATGATACACACGGGCACACGATGCTACAGGAGAGAGAGGTCGCTTTCCTTTCCTTACAGGATCCAGTTTCCTGTGTTGGCAGGAATGGTGGAGCTGAGGGAGGCAGAGAGAACATCCTGAATTGATTTGTGTCACACTAAGGAGCCTGGGTAAGAGTGTACGATGGGATAGCATCGAACCCTTTTAAATTATATGATTTGCATTTTAGAAAGTTATGAGAAAAATTTTAGATATTTATAAGGTTAACAACTTCAACACTTTAGACTTATCTAAAGGAAATATTGTAATCCTACTTATTAGCAGAATGAAAACCTTATCTATGGGAATTTAAAAAGTAAATGTTAAAGGCTTGAGATGAGAAACTGCAGGTATAAATGAATAAATAACAGAAATTAAGGAGAACAGGACGCACAACCAAACCTTGTAGGTTTCCATACCTATAACAAGATTCTCCATAAGGGCATTCAGGCCGGTCATCAGCTAGATCTTGACACATGACTTGTACGCCTCCATAATCACTATCACCAGGGTGACTGAAATGTTGGAAATGGACAGGATTCTTCCTGTAAGGGTTACAAATATACAGTGAGAAAAAACAACTAATAGAATATGTGAAATTTCTAGATACACTAAAAAATAATTAATAGGATATGGCAGGAAGTGAAGCAACACATATCTGATTATTCCAGAATGTGAACTAATATGCTACATTGTTAAAAACAAAACTCATCATGTATTCAACACAGAACTCTCCATGGTAACAAAATTAATTTCTAGTGAAATATGGTAAGCCATGTATGTCAATGGACATTACTTTACAGATAAAAGTATAAGTGTTTGAGGACTTTTAATGAGCACACTTAGGCACTCTTTGCTAAGGTAAAAGACAGACCATTACCAACATTCTAGAAGTCTCCACAGGTCTCCTTCCAATCATTAAACCTATTTTCCTACCCAAAAGTAGACACTATCCTATCATAGAAAATAGTGTATCTCAAATTTTTTGGTTGCAAGAAAAATTTACTAAAACTCCAGAGAGCTTTTGTTCATGTGGTTATTTAACCTGTTAGAAATAAGAAAATAAGAAATGTAAAAGGTATATTTAAAAATAACCTTTTATATATTACTAGAGGCCCGATACACAAAATTCATGCAAGCGTAGGCCTTCCTTCCCCCGGCTGCTGGCACTGGCTTCCCTCTGGCACCTAGGACCTGGGCTTCCCTCACAGCTCTGGCTTCGTCTGGAAGGTCGTCCAGTATAATTATCATATTATGCTTTTATTTTTATAGATAATAAATAACATGTCTTAATGTAAATAACTATATCTTCCCCCAAAAATTCATGGAAACACTGTTTCAAACTTTGAAAATGTATTTAATGTCTGGCTCAATCTTAATAGAGGGCATCTAGATTCTCAGATCTGCTTCTGTATTCAATCATTAACAGTAATGCAGACCATGTAGCCTCTGGAAAACTGCTGTATACCTGTGAGTGAGAGAATTAGAGCGAAAAAGGCAAACACATAAAATCTTGGTATCATTATGAAAATGGTTTTATCCTTACAGATTTCCTAAAAGCTTTCTGGGTACCAGAACTTCTCAGGAGAATCTTAACCATACTTTGGGAAGTGATGTTATAAAACAACACATTAGTTTTCTCTGTTCTTGAATTTAAATTGAAGTATATAGTATATACTTTTTTGAGAATGACTTTGTTTACATGATTACTCTATATTATTGCATGTAGCAGTAGTATATTTTCATTACTGTGTGACATTCCATTGTATGAAGTTGCTACAGTTTATTTGTCCATTCTACTATTCATAGACCCTTGGGTTCATTCAAGTTATTGGCTTTTATAAATAATACTGCCATGAACATTATATTTTTGGTGTACATGTTTATGCATTTTCTACATATGCAGAAAACTAAAGATTCTACAAAAACCATTTAGAAGTAATACACTAATTCAGCAAAGCTGCAGGATAAAAAATAAAAAAAAGTTCTGTTTCTATCTATACTAATAAAAGGGAAATATGCTAGACTGGACATCTTCCGGATGTCCTTCTGGACAAAGCCAAGTAGTAGGAGACGAGGCAGAGGTGGTTGAAATTGGAAAATATAGTGCAATGTAATCAAATGAGGTAAGTATAGAAGTAACCAATTAATCCAGGAAATGTACATTCAGTTGTTTCAGAAGACATCATGGTGATTCAAAAGCACCATTAAAAAATACAGAGGAAAATGCACAAGTATAATAAGATGCCTAAACACAACGTAAAATTATCTCAATAGTTATAATGTATACAACTATTTATGAAGCTATCTTTCTAATATCTCAATAAGACACTAAATATCTGGGTCTGAGTGATTCAATTTTCAAGTCTGGAATCCCCAGTTCAAATCCTTGCATTAACCAGCATGTCTACATATGAAATATCTAATTATTAAAACCTTCTAGCCGAAACCGGTTTGGCTCAGTGGATAGAGCGTCGGCCTGCGGACTGAAGGGTCCCGGGTTCGGTTCCGGTCGAGGGCATGTACCTGGGTTGCGGGCACATCCCCAGTGGGAGATGTGCAGGAGGCGGCTGATCGATGTCTCTCTCTCATCGATGTTTCTAACTATCTCTCTCCCTTCCTCTCTGTAAAAAATCAATAAAATAAAAAAAAAACAAAAACAAAAACGAAAAAAAAAACCTTCTAGCAGGATTTGCAAGAATACACACTGAGACAGTACAAACCAAGTAGATACATAAAAAAGCTCCTAATCTTTAGGCCCATGTGCTTTATTAGGCTTTTAATACATGATAACATATATTTACATAGCTACATGCCGTTGAAATAATGGCATTATATGCTACCTATACTTTCATTTTACCTGTAGCAGTTTGCCCCATAAATGCAGGATGTTCTCTTGACCTTGTTTTCTTCAGAACCTTGTAGAGCTGGATCAGCTGCTTTTGCATGCAGAGTTGCAGGGTTGGAGGGATCAGAGCTAGGCCCAGGACAAGATCCTTGAGATTCCCCATGGGAAGACTTGCCTTGGGCACTCGAACAATTCTCAGAACAGCTCACTGTCTCTTCTTTATTTTGTGTTCCTTTAGTGATGATTTCATCTTCAGAAACCTTACCAAGTTCCTCTGTTGGGATTTCATTTCTCAGTGCATTAGTCTTCTTATTTCTCACATCTGTGTTACTTAATGTGACTGTAGGAACTGATTGTGGTATTTCCTATAAAACAAATCAGAAAAAAATGTAAAAAGGGATATGTAAACTAAGCATAAAAGCATGGCACTACAAGATTCATGCAATATGTATATTTTTAAATTTTTAATATTTACTTCATTCAGAATTATTAAAAATACCATTTTCTATGTCTCTAGTTAATAACTTTAAAACACATAGTTATTAGAAAAGAATTCATAGTTGGATCAAACCATTCCAATCATGTCAAACATTCCATAAAAGATAACCAGAAAAATAGAAATGAAACATAAGCAAAGACAACATTTGCTTTCATTTGAATATAATCTTTCTCAAAAAGCCTACTAATCTCTTAAATTTTCTGTTCAAATATGTGTTTCACTCTTAACATGCACAGTCCTTATAATTTCTTTTAAGTTACTGCAATACTTCATTTCTCCCATCTAAATATCATGATATTTTCCCTATAACTGAATGATAAAATTGCTCCTCACTCACAGATACATTTACATGAAGTTATCTTATGGCCAACTCAGAAAATAAACATGATTCCTCTGACATGATCTAAATAAAAGTTTCAGTTGAACCAATTAGAGGGGCTGTGAACCAGGTAGGTATTCTCATTAGCATATAGGACCTTTTTCATTTGTACTTACTGCCAGCACAAAGAGTAAACCGGGTCCAATGCTATTAAAGATGACCACTTACTGACTAATACTTCCTTTGGAGTTAAAACTCTGCTCAGATACACTCTAGTCCTCCTGGGAACCATTTCTAGGAAGTGATGACAACATACTAGATACATATAAATGTTCACCCCCATGTATAAATGAGGACTCATGTATACTGGCTGCATCTGGAAAAAGCTGATTTTGATATTACTTAATGCTTAACAGTTCCAATTTCTTGAGAAGATATTATTAACATGGCTTCTTTTGGACTAATTACTTGTATTTAAATACTTTTCTTTTTTAAAAAAACACAGTATGTAATTTTAAAATATTATCCAAACTGACTTAACAATTTACGAATGGAACCTAAGTCTTATAATGTTTCTTGTAATTAATAACTATTGGAAAAGCAATCATTGGCTACCTCTTGGAGCTAACCTTCCACGGTGACGTTTATACCATTCTTCTAAAACATAAACTCTTTTCTCCTAAGCTGCTCAACCACACCGCATTCTCATCTCCCTCTGCTGCAGGACCAACCAACACATGTCAGAGACTGGAACTCTGGGGTGGGACTGGGACAATCCTGGCCCACCTCCCCACTGGGCAGTCTCCTACCAGGTTAACTCTCACAGGATGTTTTTCTGCCTGTGCAGGTACTAAAGGGGTAGGGAGGCCAGCAAATCCACTGGCTAAGCCAATGTCCAAGTAAATGCCATTCTCTTGTTCCTGTTGGTATCTCTAAACTCCACAAGTAATTCTCTCAGAGCCTCCTCTTCTCTTGATTTTAGAAAGGCAGAAAAAGCTTCTCTCCACAAGCATAGCACTCCCCAAACCTTAAAAAACCTTCTTGTCTCTCAGTTCTCTTTGTATACAGCCGGAAGGTGGGTCAGTGTACGCCTTTCAACAATCCCCACGGGGAAAGGTCTGGCTTTCACTGTTGGAGGCTCCTTTCAAACATGAAATACTCAGTACTGTTGTCCCATCTTTGGGCCTCAGCAACAGTTATAGGACAATGGGGGGAGGGGGAGTCCCACTGAACATCCTTTACACTTAAGTAGGAAAAGAAAAGGGCACAGCTCGGGAAGAAGTTAACTAAATTAGAAGGCATTCTTACTATGAAACACCATGCAGAGGTTGAAATATATATATTTTTTAATTTATATATAAAGAGAGAGAAAAAAAGAGAGGGGGCATCGAGGGA